TCCTGTTGTCCTTCACGTCCCTTGCCAGATTGAGCTTTAGGTGGATTTTGGTTTTCCTAAGCATATCCTTCCATGCTTGAACAGTGTTGTTATATTTCTTCCAGGTCACTTGTTTCCACCTCCTTTGTACTTCTTATTAATCACAGAATCACAGAATCACAGAATGTTAGGGATTGGAAGGGACCTCAAAAGATCATCTAGTCCAATCCCCCCCATTAATATTTGGATTTAGTCAGGAGCTCCTTATGCTTCCATACAGGTCTCCTGCTGCCTTTGATTTTCAAGGTCATTTTCAAGGATCACCTCCAAGGTCAAGAATGATCCATGCTGATGTGCAGGAAGTCAAGCAAAGTCAGCAGAAGGCTTACTTTACAAGTGTTCTTTCACCTGTTTCTACTAACGTGGTCTAGGAAAAAAACTCTCTTTAAGTAGAGGCTTTAGCACTTTGTCACCCAATTTCCCTTTTGAAGTAAATCTAGAGAACACTCACACCAGTACTTTTCTAGTAGTTCTACAGGAATGGTTTCCCCTAACACAAATATGAGGATGGATGGAGTTGCTGAGGAGAAAGTAATCTCATCTCGTGGAATAATTTCATCTGGCAGAAGATATCTCTCACCAGCTGTAATTGATTATGTTTGACTTCTACACTTGTGAACTCCATTTTCCTTTTCAAAGTAGAGAGTTATGTATACTTGCTATGTTTGTTCATACTGAAGAAAAGAAAACTAAGGGAGTTATAGCTACTGCTGTGAAGTATCAAACGGGTGCTTATGGGGAAGATGGATTTACACTCTTCTTAGAACTGTGCAGTGAAGTATGAGAGAATACAGAAGTTTTAGAAGGGGATTTCTAATTACCCATAAAGGGAGAAAAAAACAGACTTCACAGTAAGGATTGTGAGATATTGGAGTTGGTTGCCTGGAGGTGTTGTTGAAACCCCATCCTTGATGATAGTCAAAACTTGACTGGACAAGGCTCTGAGCAACCTAACCTGATGTCCAAACACGGCCCTGCTTTGAGTGATGAGTGGGACCAGATGACCTCCAGAGGTCCTGTCAGCTTGAATTATTCCATGATTTTATGGCTCTGCACATTCTTATTAAATACCTGTCAATGAGACATAAGAATTTAGATTAGTATGTTCAGACCCTTTTGGACTCTTAACCTGTGTCTGGATTTTCAGCACTATAGTTTGCCGTATTTTTCTTCAATTTCTGATGATGGGGACAGTGATTGACAGTAGGAGTTAGAAAGGAAAGATACTAAATACTTTGCAACTGAAGTGCAGAGAAACTGGCTAGTCAAAGGAATTTCCTTCTCATCTTTATTGCTGTTGAAAAAGAGACTGAAATTGGCTTAGGGAGTGTAGGTGCAGTTAGCAAATAAAGCACAGAGAAGTGGTGGAGACTGAATATACTGCAATATACTGACTAAATTCTGGTAAATTAACTAAACCAAATGAAAAAATAGGATGAGGAGACTGAGAAAAATTCTCACATTTTACTTTTCCATGGGAAAAGGATTTTCTAGGAAGATTTAGTCTGACCTTGTCTGTGCTGGAGTGTTTTATGTAAAAAGAGCATTTATTTTATTTTGATGCTGATCATATTGTTATATATTCTTATTTATAATACGTGAGATCTTTGAAATGATATCAGTACATGAGAGAAAATTATTTTAATGTGTTTGCATCTCATAAAATATTTTTACTGGAGCTCAGCAACTACAAGCTCTATTTATATAGATAATTTTATAAAGTAAGAATTAAAACTTAAGTTATTTTTGAATATTTAGAATTGATTTGGAAATTTTTTATTAAGTGTAGTACAAACTCACACAAGGAAAGGCATGTAAATGCTACAGGGGACCTAACATTGAAATACACATATGAATAATATATTAGTTGATATACAGTACATATAATTAAAATTGAAAGAGTAAAGCAAATTTATAAAATATTTAAACTGAATAGTGAAGAACGCTACAGAGAATTAAATGCATTTCTTGGTTTTTTAGCTTGACAGTTATATTCTACCAGTATATAGCAGTTTTCCTGAGGAGGATGTTTCCCACACTTGAGAAATCAACTGGATCCATACACATGCAGTGAAGCATAACTGAAGCAATAGTCTATAGATAGTATAGAAAGCATTAGGATTTTCCTCAATGCAGAAAGGGTAACCTTCCGTCACCAAGTAGAAATAGAAATTACTCAAATAGGTGTCAGATTCTAGAACAAAAATCAATTGAGTAATTAAAATAATGGGACATCTTTGAGCATAATGTTTGTCATAAGAAAATTTTGAAGTTACTTAAATATAATTTCTTCTTGATTTTTGAGTGGAGAGGTTGTTGTGTTGCTGTTTTATTTTGTTTTGCTTTCCCTGAACTGCTGAGATGTAATACTTTTTGTTAGTCAGCTGCTAAAATTTCTTTGAGAAGTCAGAACTGTCTGTTTCCAAGAGGACCTTGGTCTTGTCTGGAATTATGGATGAATGTCTTTGAAAATTGCAAGTTTTAGTATCAGGTATAAATTTGAAGGAATTATTTTATATAGTCTTTCTATTGTAGTGATTAAAAAATCTGCTGTACTACCTTTCTACCCTCGGCATGAGGCCAGTGTCCCAATTTGAACAGTAGGCTGCACTTAGTGAACGGCTTTCTTTAAGAAAATTCAGTGATAGGAGCTGAAAGACTCGGCTGCTTTATATTCCATGCATAAGGAGGAGTTTTTGTTATTGAAGAAATCACTATCAAACATAGAAGATACTAACAATTAGAGTAGACAGTTTTGGAATGAGAATAGGTGTGGGATTTGGCTGAGTGCCAAATCATGAATTTCTAGCCTGCCTGCCAGTAGTTTGGTGTCTTCTGAATGCCCTTGTAGGGTGTAACAATAGATTTCATTGCTTGCATAGATGGGCAGCATTTAATTAATATTCATAAAGATATTTTTAAAGAAGGAGAAGAATATCAAGACTAGGTTTTAGTGCAACCATTTTTTTCTTTTTCTTTTGACTACCTGAAGCCTTTAGTTCTCTTTTAAGTTTCTGGGTTCTGTGTTACTTATTTGTGGTGTCATGTTAGGTCTTGCAGCTCAAGAAAAGGAGTAATAAGAAATAGAGCAGGAATTTAATTTTAAAGGGGAACAAAAATACCATTGTGATCTGTATTTCTTCTATTTACTATTTTAATGAGTTTCTTTTTTCCCCTCTTGTCTTGTATGTCTCTCCTGTCAAATAAAGGCCAAGAAACACCAGGTCTTTTTAACAGAGACGTATGAAAACAACATGAGAGAGCTGGAGTTACTCTTGGACAGCTTTGCTATGTCAGGCCAGCGGACAGCAGGTTAGTTGAAGGTATAAAATGACAGATGCATCTGTCAATGTTCCAAAGTCACTACATTGTGGGAATTCTGCAGATGCCTCTTGCATTCCCTCTTCTCAACATGCCTTGATTTGATGACATGATAAGAGCAGTTCTCACAGCAGTCAAATGGCCTTGCTAGCTGAGAAAGGGTGACGGAATGTGGACCTGCTGTTATCAGCCCAGAGCTTGATTTACAAATGCTGGGGTGTATATGATCGGTCAGAAAAGGGCTCACTTGCTGTGCTCTAAATCCAACAGAGAAAAAAGTCCTTACAGTATACCTGCAAAGGGAACAGATGTTTTGCCTGAACTGAGCCAAATTCTGAGGCAACCTTCAGCAACTTAAAGGTCATATATTCACAAAGGTTGTGTAGGACACAAGATATAACACAATACTTTTTACTGTTGATTGTGGTTTAGTACTATATTGCATTCATTTGATCTAATACAGAACAAATATTTCTGTTTCCATTAAAATTACTTGTAAGTCAGTGGTTGTCACTCTGTTTGCTAGCTTTGTATGTAATTATTGTATCAAACTGCTGCCTGCTTAAACATTTGAAGTAGTGGCTAACATAAACAAGCTGAACTTTAACATCAAAGCTAGTTATTTTTTTTAAAGGTGAAAATGGTATGCTTAAAAAAAAAATCTTCATTTAAAACTATCTATAAAAGTTTTTTCTATGTGATTCCTGTTAGAAAATCACATACTAGACACAAAATGCTTCCAACTTAGAGTGCAAGTAAACTGGAAGAGAACAGGCAAAATGCTGCTTGAAGAGCGAATAAATTTATTTTATGTAAATTCTGATGATATGTTTCTGCACTTTTTAGCAACAGTAGACACAAATGAGTCATATAATGAAGATGCATTCTTTTCTATCTTCACAAAAATATTATTTTTTTAGGGCCTGATAATGTTAAAATTGAATAAAGAAACTTCTTGAGATTTCTGTTGTACTTAAAAGCCTAGTTATGAATCTGTGATGCATTGATTTCCTCACATGGACTATATGACTTTTTTATTTGGGAACTGGTATCAGCTTTATTCTGTAATTATAAATGTGATTCATGTGGATAATACCTGTAGGTTATGTAGATATGTTAGACTGAAAAGCTCTTCAAAATTGTATGTTTTCCTCAATCTTGCAAAGTTCCATATGCCAGAGGGGCTTCAGCAATTCTAGGGGGAGCTGGATGCTGCTGCCAAAGTGCAGTTTCCAAAGTAGTAATTGTCTTTTGGGTAGGTTTTCTGTTCTCCCTAGTGGTAAACCTTGCAGAGAACAGCTTTGACCTGTTTCTATAATATTAGAGATTCAGTAACAGTAACTTCAGTATTAATTTGGTTGGTTTAAGGTAAACTTTGAAAAGTCTTATTTAAAAAGTGGGGGTTTTTTTTAGCTTCAGCATTTCTGCAGAGACTCGAGGCAGAAAGTCAGATTTAGCTCTGTTGTGGCTTAAGTCTTTATGGATATTAAAATGGCCATTGACTAAGACATTTGTTCTACATTTTTACTGCACTTCTAAGTGTGAAACTTAAATTTTTAATGCCCTTGCCTTGCTGTGTTGCACTTAGGCACTTCTTATGTAATTATTTCTTTCACTTAAAAAGACATTTAGTGTAATTTATATTTGAAATGGGAATGCCTAGGTGCCAATAGAAGTAGAAATCTTAAATAAGTCTTTGTAGTCTAATTAGCAGATGAGAGGCTGCAGTCTACTGGACAGTCTTTTTTGTTTTTGTTTTTCACTTTCAGCTGAAGTGGATGAGAGAGCTACTTAAAAACTGTCAATATTAAAGGAGGTCTAGCCCTTACATTTAAGTGCTGATTGGGCTGTGATTATTGGGCTATACAGAAAAAAGAAAAGAAGACTTTATGTTTTTAAAATTAAAAGACTAAGTATTTTTAGAAGTTATTTTTTTCTTTATACGTTCCAAAATAACAAGCATAAATGCATGTCTTCTCCTTTTTAAGTGACCTTTTTAAATTTTTCACAGCGTTGTTATTCTTACTGGGCAACTGGCATGATTTCAGCTTGTCCCTGTTCAGTTTATAATTTTTTGCAGTTATTGAGCAACAGGGTTTGTGCTCAGGGAAGTTTGTCTTCATTTCAGGAAAAAAAATAAAATTGTAGTGATTTGGAAAAAAAGTGAACTGAGTATAAAGTGTGAAGAATGTTAGGTGCTTTGAGGGTAGTGTCACCGTTTAATGCTGGCTACCAGTGCTGTTTTGATCAAAAATCTAAAACTTAGCACCATATGAGCTGCTAAGAAGAAAACTAACTCTATCCTAGCCAGGCCCAGTACTGTTAGTATGAAGTCTGAAGCTACAGGTTTGAGTGTTTAGTCATTTGTATACCTCCTGTCAGACTCGTATTGAACCTGGCATTTTCCCAGAATTCTTCCCTAAAATTCTTAGGTGATACTGGGCAAATGCTTTAAGTATTGGTGTTTTTTTTTCCCTCATTGCTGAAGTAGGGCCTCTCCAGCAAGGGAGTGCCATTTGGATTGTATTGCCTGTCTCCTTAATAGCTGTATGAAGATAGACAACATTTGGCCTATATTAAAGCCATAGGCTCGTTTTCAGCTAGTGCAGGAAGGTGGAATCTGGTGTTTCTGTTGGCAGGCTGGGCTGCCTAGCAAATAGAGTTGCAGCATAGGCAAGGAGTGTCAGTATGGAAAGTTTACTTGCAAAAGTCTGGTTTTGGCAAACATGATGTAAATTAAAATAGTTCAGAGGCATGTTTCAGTAACGGGTTGGGACTTTAGAAATGAAGATACATTATTTAAACAGCTTGATGAAAACTGTAGGATGGAAGACAATACCTAGATTGACTTAACAGGTATTGTTTTAAACTGAATAAGAACTGTGAGTTGCAACTTCTCTAGAGCTAGAAGCATGGAAGAATAGTACTTTCTTTTTTCTGTGCAGCAAGATCACTGCAAAATGTTCCTACAATGGATAGTAGTGAGAATTCACTCTTGTAATTGAGGAGTCACAACTAGAGCCCTGTGCATCCTTAACTATAGCTGTGATTAAGCGATTAAAATGACAGTAAGGTGTTAGTAGTCTGTTTCTTAAATGTGAAATCTAAACTTCTCACAAAAGGTCAGATTATATGAATTATTCTTAGATTGATTCTAAGTGTAAAATTGCTGTCTGGGACATCTCTAGGACTCAGAGGTTTGGTTAAGGGCACTGGAGTGTCATTAAGATTTTGCTTTTTCCTGATGCTGTAGACCTTTAGAAACTGTGTCGAATAGGTGTCCACTGGAGCACAAGTCTGTTACTGGGACAGCATTCTTTTTAAATTCAGTTGTGTGCTGTAGAGGAGATCTTGCTCCTGTTACTGAAAGTGGTCCTACAAACCTGTACTTGTAGATGTGACTTTGACAGTAACAGTTGGCTGGGAAGTTAGAGTGAAAAGTCAGTGTCCAGCCGGAGTACTCTGTGCCTTCTGGTATTATCATCAAGGGGTTGGGAGAGAAGAGGCTAATAAATTGAAAAAATTTCAGAAGAGGTGTTGGCAATACTTTCCAACTTGTGCTTATGCATGTCTTTTCCACAGACTACCAGTGGTGCATTTTGTTTAGCCTACAGGACAAATCTATCATTTGGTATAATACTTTGAGTAGACTATCATGCTTATTAGATAACACTAACCATATGGTTCTTAAAAAAAACCCAACTACTTGCAAGTCTGTCAGTGCACCTCGTCTAGCTGACAAAGTTTTATGGAGAGCCAAAGAAAAGGCTTAGAATTTAGTATCTGATTTGACTTTATGAGCCACCCCAGGTAAATTTATTAGTGACGCTGACCTTTCAGAAGTGATAAACACCTGTGTCATAATTTAGTTCTGCTGGGAGTTATGACTGTTCAGGCTCTCTGGAGTTCAAATACCACAGATATTTTTCACCAAAAAAAAAATTTGCAAAAGAATGTTGCCATTACCATTAGTAAAGTTAGTTTTGCTTGCAGAACATGTTAAGTCTTATGGAAAAGATGGTACTATAATTTGTTACAAAGTAAGTTTATAGATGCTGTATACTAATATAAATAATGCTGAGAAGAAGAATTTGTCAATAACCTGGTATTTTCCTGTAATACCACAAAAAAAGGAATAGTTTGTTCTTCGAAATTTAATATCAGCTGACATCTTGTGATGTCTTGGTCAATACAGTGTTGTTTTGCTTTCTTAGCACATTGTACTACAGGCTTTGGAATGCTCAGACTTGTTCATATGTCCCTAATTAAGGCAACCAGATCAGAAGTCTCCAAGTAAAGGTTTAGTAAAGAAGAGTAGTGTGTAGATAATGGATATATCGGCTTTAAGATTTATAATTGAAACATTATGTAGGCCTCTGCAGACAGATAATATATTTTTTTAATTATTTCCTTTGGAATGAAATTCAAGATAATTTAAAAGGTTTTTAAGATCTCTCCAAGCATAACATAGTCATGTGATCTTTGGCTCAGTAAGGCTTCATGTAAATGAAGTACTACATTATAATATGCCTGCTTAGTCACAACAGCAAAATAATGTCAGGAAAAGTGTAACATACTTAACTTTCAGGAAACATGTTTTCCAGAGTGTTATTGTGTGGTTTTAAAGTTGGCTGCTCTGACTGAATGACACAGACTTGACCACAGCAGAAATTATATGCGAGACTGCATACCAAATACATTAGGTAGAAATGTAATTCAAAATTTACAGTCCTGTATCTTGTGTTAAAGTTTTAATACAAATGTCTTTCAGCTGTATTTGCTGTGAAAGTATGGCTATTCAGCTGCCTCTCCTGTGGCAAACAAGGCTGCTGTTCAGTGTTTTGTATTGTCACTGAAGTCCTAACTAATTTTAATACCTCTCATCCAGGGTGAGTAGTTTTGTCTCTGTGGCTTTAAGGCTTAATTTTCATCCTGTATTTTTCTTCAGGCACTTGTAAGGACAAAGATAAACCTCCGAGCTTCTCTGTCCTTGAGACTTTGAGGTGTACCTTGACAGCTTACCAGAACAAGCTGGAAGATATGTCTAATGAGGTAATACTTGCACTGTTTGGCTCTCTATGTATCGCCTTCAGCCTGTAGCAGTATGTATGCTTTGCTTGTAAAAAAGGTCAGAAGAATGGGAATGTTGAGTTGACAGCTTCACATATACCCAAAGAAATAATCTCTGTCACTACTATTTCTCTAAGCTTGCCCTGCAGTGAAATTTCTCTTATATTTGGGGGGGCAGGGAGAAGAGGTTTTTTTCTGTTTTTCTTTTTAGTTTAATTTGGTTTTGTTTTCTTTTTAAACCTGTTGGGGTTATTATTTTCAGTAAACATTCAGGAAAATAAGCCATACATATTTAGGATTTCTTGTAAAAGATGATTATTTAAGGGTTGAGCAGTGTATACTGCAGTATTCTTAAACAGACAACCCTTGGGCATCTGCAGTCATTGGTATCAGTTACGTAAATGTGCATGCCCGTGTACATTTAAAAAGTAGCATAATTTTCTGAGATGCGTATATTTATGATAAAATCTCTTTGGGTGCTATTTTGAGGTCTTTTCAAGTAAAACAGTACCATGACAATACTTTCTTTAAGCTATCTAACACAATAGTGGAAATCTTTCAGTTTTGGAAGGCTTGCCCTTGGCAAAAATCAAATGCTTTCGATGAAGTCCTACTGGCCTTTTATTTCAGTGACTGAAAAGTCACAATCTTGCATTTATTTTCTCATTTGTATTGCTAATGTGATTAAATTAATCCTCTTGGGTGTAAATGTTTTATGAATTTGTGGCTTTAAAGGCTGTAGAGAGAAGTTAACTGCACTGTTAAAGCTTTCTGTACAAACTTGTAATTAGCTTATCTTCAGATAAAATTGGCAAATATAGAAAGGCAAGGTGTGATAAGAATGTAAAAATGCCAGTACTGTTTTTTCATTTCTAGTTTTTTTTCTTTTGTGAGAAATACATAGTCTAGCTAGTCACTCACATGTTAAAAAAACCCAAAAAACAAACAAACAGACAAACAAAAACCAGAAGAAAAGTGTATCAGCTTTGTCCCTTTTATTGGAAGAATGGTCTCCTGAAAGACCTTTGAGTTTGTTCAACGAGCGCAAAAATAAGTGACCATGGAAACAATTATACTTTTGTAAACAGCAAGCACTGTTAGATCTCTCCCAGTGAGATAAAAGAACCAATGTGTATAGTCATTATGAAACTCTTCTGAGACCCAAGTCTGAAAGCTGCAGAGTAACTGGGAACGTACTACCAACAGCGAATTGTTATCTGGGAGAAGGAATGTCACGTGATAGGCAGCACAGTTGAAAAGTCGACTCAGCAGGCTTTGGCTTAGTGATGTGCTTTGTTGTGAAAGTGTGCCAGAGACAGCAGTGGGGAGACCAAGGGGGTGGCTGCTAAGAAAGCAAAGAGAGTATTCTGACAGAAAGAAGAATGAACTGTCAAGGAAAATAAATCGCAAGCAGAGCAGGACCAACTGATGACCTGCCACAGGACTTCACAGTAGGACTGTGTGTGGCTGACCCTGAAGTTGTTGTATGGAGCCAGAGATCACCAAGCACCTTCATGGTGCACAGAAAGGGCAGTACTCTGTCCTTCTTGATTATCCCCGCCCCCATAGATAATGCTGCTTTTGTCTTTTTATATATTAGATATGTTTAGTAATAAAACTTTTTAATAATACAATAATGCACAAAGGGACTATAAAGGGCACTGTGCAATAAAAACAGGATGTTTTAATACACAGCAAGCAGTAAGGGTTTAGTTTTGAGTAATTATGTAGTGGTTCTTTTTATAGAGAGATTTTCAACAAGACCCTTCATACTAATGGAGTTACTAATATATGTGTACACCTGTATGTATATGTGAAAGATGCTGGTAAACTTGTCAGGTGTCCCCTTTAACTTCCTGTCTTAAACATTAGATTAAATGATCTAGTTAATTTGTGTGACTGAAAGGTGTGTATGTGTTTTGGTTTTGACAGATAACAAGCTTTTGACTTTGTAGTGCAGAGGCTAGAATATGCTTGGTGAGAGAGAGAAAGCTAGCAAACTAACAAAAAGAATGGAAGTATTCCAGTAGCATTCTGTAATTTACTGTAATTATTTCTGAGGGTTCTGCCAGGTCTCCTGATCTGAGATCAAACAAAAATGTAATTTCCAAACTAATTTGTAAATTTAGTAAATGGGATATTTTACTTCTGAGTTGCTCCTTAATGCTCAAGTGTCAGCAGTAGCCTGCACTGTAATATATCTCTATTCACTGCTTTCGTTCAGACATTTGTATTACTAACTTCATAAACAGGTAACCAAAAACTAAAATGATGTGTTATCTTTTTTGAAAATGGAAAGTGAAGCTAGTACACATTATGGTCATGAGTTACCTCTAAGGTGGTTGCTTGTAACACCACAAGCAATTCAGTAGTCACCATGCCTCTTGGGAATATTGCTGCTCTTTACAGATACGTACTGTCCAGTGCTCAGTAAAAAGCAGAGACCATGGTAGTAGCTGGACAATTTCTGCAAACAGCCACTGACTTTGAAAACATGTTTTCTGAAATCACGCCTCAGACCATAATCTGAGTTTATTAAATTTTCAAATACATTTCAAAGTGTTTTTGTCAGATGTTTTGGGAATTCATGGGAAACTTAACATTGGACAGTTTGGAATTTTGTCATTGCTATTTATCTTAAATCATAAAAGAGTTATTCAGTGTTTTTGTAATGGCACGTAATTTAGATTGTATGGAGTATAGATGTTGTCAAAGGAACTGAAAACAATTTTTTTTTTACATTTATGTACAAAATTCTTCCTTTATATTCAAGTGATTACGTAGTCATTCTGCAAAAGCCTATTTGACCTCTGTATTTTTCACAGCTTGGGAAAATGAGAGCTCTGTGTGAAAACATGACAGAAGAACTCAAGATATACAAAGAGAAAATGTATGCTTTAAGTCAAGATCTTAAGGTATGGTTTCATGAACTTAACATAAAATTTGAAAGTTCTGCAAAAAGTATCTTTCCAGATTTAAGGTGTTTTTTTTCTTATCAGAATGAGTCTCTGTATCATTGTATCATTGTATTCTGTTGAGCACACTAGTTTATTTTGCATGCTACTTTAGTCTTGTTACGACCTTAGGCTACATAAATGATCACTTCAATTATTGCATTTTTGAAATAATTTGAAATAGTTTTGCCAATTTGCAAAGTGTTGTTTTATATTGAAATCAGCATCAGTATTTTTTTCACTTAACTTTTTCTCAAGAAAAAGAGAAAATTTAGTTACTCCTGTTAATCTGAAAGCACATTTCATTAAAGCTGTCCTTTATTTTTTTGTGTGTTTGTGTTTATCAGGCAAGTTAATGCATGTATGAAGCATCAGGTCATCCTTAACAGTTGTAGAAAGCACAGCCCAAAATTTATTAGAGGAAAGTCTACCTGGAAACTGATAAAAACACTTGAGAAATAGTTTCTTTCGTTTCTGAACAATAATTTTCTTTTTGTCTCTGTTTTTTGGCCGAGACACGACTTTTGTAACATCCTGTCTGGTTACATTGGTGGCCAAGAGAGTGAGGAAGTCCTGAGGTCATGGTTAAACTCCCAACTGGCAGTGTATTATATTACTGCCAAAACAGAATGTCTCTACTCCCAGTGCTTTTCAGATTCTTTTGCTTTTATCACTTCAATTTAGTCACAGACACTTCTGCAGCTCTTATTGAATCTTCATATTAATTGATACTTGCACATAATCTCCTGTCATCTGATCTAAACTTCCTTTACTAACTTATGTTAGAAGACTTAAGACTTCTGCTTTTGTTGCAGCACCTTTGTAAGGCACCTAAAAATCTTGCAGCCTATTGCAACAGATACTTGCATTCCTCATGCAAAAACTGACTTTGCTATAATGCTGGGTTTTATGCAGTACAACAGTTTCAGATGTCTTTAATTTTTTGGTAATAGAAGTATATATATGAATTAAAACTAGATCCAGTCTGAAAACATTTGTGTTTCAAACTTAACGTTGCCTTAATCTTTTAATATTTTCATTAAGAAGAATAAAAGTTGTCATTGTCTGATGATTTGGGAGTATCTTTCCTGTTATATTTCCCATGTAAGCAGCTATGATTTAATGAAAAACAAACAATGCTTTCAGTTTGACCTTTGGCAAACTTCAGCAGTGCTGGAAGTGCAGTGCTTGTAGGAGAAGAAAGCATGTATATCTGTCCACTCCATCTCAGCAATCTTTTGGCTGAAAAGGTGTAGTTTATTAAGTTATTTGTTTACCTTTCGAGACTTGGTACCAGTAACATAATGATTTTATTTATGACCATTTTTCATTGTTAGTTTCTTCCCAAGATCAAACCTCCAAAGGGTCCTCACATTTTTTTTTTTAATGCAGATAAGGAATACAGTGGCTACAACAGCGCTGCCTGTGTTGCCTACCAACTCAGCTGTAATGGATCAGAGATTTTCTTGTGAAAATAATGTATCTTTTCACTAGCTCTGAGAGCTTTCCACTCTAGAGAGGATAACTTGTGACTGTGCATTCTGCATCGCAGTTGTAGGGGTAGAGGGGATTCAGAAAGTCACTGCATCATGGAGTTTTAACTCTCAGAGATGGATTTCTGATGCTGTCTAGTTACGAGCTGTGGAGAAGGACTATTGTCAGTTTTGAAATTCTGTTATTGACAAGATGCAGTCATCTTAGCCTGGAGTCTTCTGAACACATGTTGCTATGTGACTGTTCACTTCCTCGGATGCTGAGCACTGAACTAAGGTAACTTTTTATAGAGTTAAATTCTTACCACTCTTTCTGTTCCATACTTCTGTTCTACAGGAAGCTCAGGATAACCTGGCTGATGCCAATAAAGAGTTAAATTGTCTGCGCACTAAGTGTGCAGACAGAGAGACTTTAATAGGAACTTTAAAAATGGAGCTACAGAATGTACAGCAATGCTGGGAGAAGGAGAAAGTACGTGCCACAGAATCTGAAATTGAAATCCAGAAGCTTACCAGGGCTTACCAGAACGATGTGGAGGTATTATCAGAGACAAGATGACTGTCAAAAAGAGTCTTTATATAATCTCAGCGTTATACATTTACATACATCAGATGGTTACTCTTAGTCTTAACAGATTTATCTCCAAAATATGATTTTAAGATACTTATTTTGAAATGCGTATTTAATATCTACAGGATCTCAGGGCATACTGGTTCTTCTTCCTTCTATATCAGAACTAATAGCTTAACCTTTCAAGTATTTTGAATTTTTGAACTGAGTTTATTTAAAGAGCTATGCCTGATGAACAGTTCTTTCTTTCTTTCAAGTTGAAAGTTAACAAAAGTATTTTAGAACTGAAACATACAATAGTATCATCATCGTGTGTTGTTAATTACTGATTCATGTGGCAACTGATGTGGAATTGAGGTAGTTTAGCCTACGTGCCATGAAACCTAGAAGTTCTTATTTGTGACCTGTTAGCTTGTTGTGGTGTGCTATGTGTGGGAATTGCTTCACAAAGTCTTATTTCAGAACTATTATCTCTCTCCTTTTATTTGTTTACAATATTAATTTTGTTGCTTTCCCCCCTCAATAAAGCAGTTCTGTACTAGCAGTAGCAATGATATTCTTTATCATAGTTATCGTGCATGTTGAGCTCATTACTTCCACAAATTTGGACATGGATGTCAACTGAGTAAAAAGGAAACATTCTTTCCACCTCTTTTGCAGCCTAGTATTTAAATAGCATCCACACGAAGCAGCTGGAATTGTTATACACATCAGATAATGATTAAAGTGAAGGAAACTAGAAGCCTGGCTATATTCTGAAGTCAGCATGTCTACAACACTGTGGTTACATTCAACATGTGTGAATTGATTTTGGGTCTTGGGATCCCTTTTTCATGTCAAATGGATAACTATCATCCTTGGTTTGTCACAGCTCAAGCAAAAAATGTAATGATGGTGGCACACTGAATTTTTCCTTGGGGAATTCAGAGATCTGCTAGAAGCAAAGTTAAACTAAATTAAACTACCATTTCTTATTGCCTAAAGTACCATGAAATAATTGTGAGAAAAATCTGCTAAGCATAATGGAAAGAGCCATAGTTCCCCATCTCAGTTATCTACAATTTCTTGATGTAGAGCTTCATCCAAGGCCCTTAGGAAACAATGGGAACCTTTGCAGTGGTTTGCTGACTTCGAATAAAGGCTCTGTTTCTTGTGGCCTTTGAGGTACAGCTTTCTACTGTTATCTTAATCAAAGCTGCTAAGTTGCATATATGAGCCAGAAGGATGAAGGCTGGAATTTCTGTTGCATGCTATTGTTGCTAAAGTTTATTTATAACTTGCATAAATTTATTATACTACTGACTAAAATTAGTGTAAATGAAGGAGGCATGGCTTGTGGAATTTAACTGATGAAGCTATAAGGCTATTTTGTCTAGTTATTTTGTCATACATAATCCAGGCAAAACCAATTTTTATAAGACTTCAGAGTGATAATTGTATAAACAGTGTGTTGTGTTGCCAAGCCAATCAAACAATTTTCTGCATACTATGCAGATACTGGAAATAGGTACAGTTTTAATGTACCTGAAAGTCTTAACATGAATGGTTAAATTGCATCTACTTACTCCACAAAATTTTTTATATGTATCGGGTCATTGTGCATGAATCCACTGCAGGATTGGATATTCTTTATTTATATTCTATGTCTAATTAGACAAATCTTGTAAAAACTATTTGCTTACTCTTGCTTTAGTATTTATCACTACAAATATTAACAGTACTGCTTTTGAAAATGTTTGAGAACGAGCTTTGTGTTTTTTTTTTTACCGCTGTGTGCAGCTCACATTACTGCACCTATGATGCAGCTCTGGATTCTAACACTGTTCAGATACAAAAGTTGATTTTTCTTTTTGTCTCAGGAGAAGCTAACCTTCCTCCATAACTTATACCAGCATTTGGTAGCGGGCTGTGTGCTTATAAAACAACCAGAAGGCATCCTAGATAGATTCTCTTGGTCTGAGCTTTGTGCAGTCTTGCAGGAGAATGTTGATGCCCTGATCTTAGACCTCAACAGGGCTAATGAGAAGGTAAGTGTCCTTAGGCACCAGCTACCTCTATTAAATTCAGTGACATTTGTCCACATCACAGTATCATTAAAAAGGACTGACATTCATCTTATTTCAAAAAGAATTTGGATGTTAATAATTCAAGACCATTAATTATGTCTTGTCTACAACTCAGTTTGATGCCATTGCTGTGGGCATGTAAATGTGACTGAAGTCTGTATGAAGTCTCTAAGCTCCACTTTCTGTGCAGGACATGCTAATAGTACTAGCCAATATTAGCCACAGGGACCTAATTAAAAGAAAATAAATTAATCTTACTGATGAACCAATTCAAAGAACTTAGTCATTTACACTAATAAAGCAAGTCTTTATTTTAGCATAAAACAGAAACAAAATGCACTTACTCCAGGAACATAATCTTTAAATTATATGTTTATGATGCAGAGGTACTATCTGAAAAAATGCCAGTATGTATTTTGCTTCATGTAACTTTTAGATTATTAAATTTATATTCAGAAATACAATAGAAAATACTTATTTTTATAAAATGTGTCAATGTTTGTTTAAGGGATAATCTGTAATTTTCTGAATGGTTTTAATGTAAATGGGTTTATGTGGCCTTTCTCTCCAGAAATCCCTGCATTTTTAGGAAAGACCTCTTTTAAAATAACTTAAACTGACTCCACAGACTAACATACGCAACTCTGAGATTTCAGTTCATGTTGTGGCTCCATTATTCAAGCCAGTCCTACAGTCTAGTAGAGTGACTCCAGATCTTGGCTGTCTTGATGTTTTGTTCTTGAGGCATAGGAAGGTGGAAGCTCATTTGGACATTTGGACATCATCTGCTGGAACTGTGACCTCTCTTCTGACCTGAGTGAAGGACAGGGCTGGTTACAGTGGGTGATTTGGACTCTGCACATCATTTACTAAATACCCCAGCTGTCAATGGAAATTACTGAAGAGGGACAGTATAAAATAAATTCTGGATTATGAAGATTTGATGTATATTTCTATTTTACTTTTGATGTAAAGGAGGAAAGGGAGTAGAAGGGAAGAAACATTGTTGGCAGTGCTCGGGAGGGTTTTGTCTTATTGTTTCTTGCTTTTTAATTTATTATGTTTATTGAGATAGATTGTGAGGTCTCAAGGGCTCTTTTCATGTGCTTACCAGCTTTTCAGAGATTTGGGGCAGTGTTGTTACCTGTGTTGTACCTGCTTTGTGAGAACAAGATTTTTCTGCAGTTTTGTGTGATCTATTTGGAAAGTGTCTTGCTGATATTATCTAGTAACAAAGTGTAAGCATGTGTATTGAGAGGTCATTGTTAGCTTGATTCATTACTCCATTTAGTTTGTATGGTAGCTGCAAAGTTAAAACCCTTCATGCTTGTTGAGAACACATCATAAACTAATGAGTTACTTGTGAGGAAAACATTCTGTATGCTAAAATTTCCCAAAATTATTTTAATACTTAGTATTATATACAATGTCTTTGCTTTCCAGTAAAACAAAAAATAAAATTAAGGCCTGTTTTTTCACTCGCAATTCTTGCAAGCTGCTAAAGGACTGATATATGCACAGATTACTAATTTAGCAGCACAATATTTGGTGCAACTGTTTCAAAAAGTGAAAGGCAAGGGAGGTGTCCAGTTCAGGTTTCCAATAAAGATGACAACAGATATCTGCAAGGTGGTATAGGGATGGCAAGACTGAAACCGAGAAAAATTCATTTTTTCCAAATATCTCAGTTTTGTTGCAAGATTCCAGTAAGTAATCTGTTGTGGAGGGCTTTTACTTAGCTTTAATAAATATGTTGAAGAAATTCCAGTTTAGGTTTTATGTTGCGATAGTCTTTGCTTAAATTAGGATGTATAATTTAAAAGGTGTTTTGATAGGTTCAGATTTATTTTTAAATGCTTGTCAAACAGATATCTCACCTAGAAGATGTTTGTAAGAACAAGTCTGAAACTATGAAGGAGCTTCAGCAGACTCAGGAAGATATTTTTAGCAAAATGGCTGAACAGAGGAAAACACAGGAAAATTGTTGGCAGAAACAAAAAAAGTATCTGGAACAGCAGTGCTCAGGTCTCCTTGGGGAAGTTCAAGCAAGGGCACAGGTATGGTGCTGTGAATGTCTTTTTTTTTTCTGGTGAATATTTAATGTATTATTTCAGTAGTTTAAGCTCCTAACCAATTTTATGTTGTTTGGGAATTTTAGTATATCTTTAAAATAAATAAAAATACACCCAACGCTGTGCTAGTATTAATTTCATTTATAATAAGAATTAAATGACTTTGTTAAAACATTTCAGAAATTAATTTCTTAATTTCGTCTAGCAATTGCTAGTGATTTTTTTTGAGAATGTTAAAGCTGTAAGATTGAAATTGCTTATTTTAAGAACTATATAGGGCAGCAGTTACTTTTTCAGTGTCATGCTTTGCAAATACTTTGTAGAGTAGTAGCAATGTGGTTTTATCTGGGTTTAAATTTAGGTATGTACACCCTGACCCTAAAAACCAATTAGCAGTTACAGTGGTAGATTTCAGCAGTATTAAAGGACTTTGTTATACAGATACTGCAGGGAACAAGGATTCAGAAGTGTAAAACTTTCATCACTGATTGTTAGAAAAGCTGCTTGCAACCTAAAATTTTCATTGTTATTATACAATCACAATTCATTGTCTTCCAGTTCATATTCCATTACACATGTTTCAGTTAAAAGTGTTGTGAAATAAAGGAAAAAAGAGATTACGTGTTATATCTGACTGCCATCTGAAATTGACTTCATCAGAATGCTGTATTTGACTCAGATTTTGGGCTTGAAAGTCTTTGCACTCGGAAAAATGTATATATGAAGTATTCTTTAGATAGAGCAATTTATGGTAATTTCTTGGGAATGAATTAAAATCTTGTGTATATTTTTTGCCTGATGTTTACGTTTCACACTGAATATTGACAATGCTAAAGACATACCTATGAGCGGAATAAATAGCATCCAGAATATTAAGTTCTCCCAGCATCCTGTAGTTTCATCTTGTGAAATCATTGCCAACAAAAAGAATAATGAAATGAGGAAGCTTAATTTTAATTCTAAAAATTACTCTTCCTTCTTAATGAAAAAGTGGAGTTAGGCAGTTTAGATTCCTGTCTCCTATGGGTGCTGCACAAAAGAAATGTCGGAGCCATCCCTTTCAGAGCTCTAGCCTACTGTGGAGAATTGGTGCTGTGCAGTACTGCACCATTCCTTTGAATGGCACTGGACCTGCCAGTCTTTTCTGCAAGTTATGTAGACAGCAAGCGGAGCACGCACTGAAAACATGGTTCTTGCATGTCTTCTGGAAAAGTCTTTATCTGTCAACTTGCTGTCCAGGGCTACAGGGTTTCTAAAAGGAAAATGCTTTCCCTTTGAAACATCTGGGCATGTTTTCTAACAGAGGTTGTGTAGTGTTGAAGTACAAGCGGGTAGTGGCATAATCTAGGCAGTGCAATGTCTGTGGACTCTTAGATGATTTAACAAAACTTTTGTCTCATCTTTTTTCCATCACATGTTCCAGTTTGCCTTCCTTACTGTTCAGTGTCAAACTGGGAAGAAGACAGTCTAATTTCTTCTCTATTTCTAATTTGTGACCTACTTTGGACTTGTAAATACCAGATTCTTTCCCTTCCTGAGATCCATAGGGTCCATGCTGACTGCTTGCTTTTTGTAAGACTTGACTCTCTTTTACATATTGCATTTTGAACCTGATGGCCATATTTACAAGGTCACTGCTCTGTTGGATCAGAGGTGCGTAGACAGACTAATGTAGCCTTATTTCCATAGAAAATGAGGGAAAATGTGCCACCACTTACAGAGTGTCTTCAAAGGGTCTTTTAGATATTACTGAGTGCCAGTGTTTACATAAAGATACAGAATGCAATATTTAGATTTAGTTATTTTAACAGGCTTTATTCATTAAATTTTATAGGAAATATATAATCAGTGTAAATGAAATATAATTTGCCAGTGTTCTGTGTTTCATTTCTGAACTGTGAGTCTCATCACTCCAGGACCTTTATTCTAGCACCACAAGGAAACTGTAGCAATTTGCTGTATTTTCCATCTGAAGATCTGAGTGTTAATTACAAGCAGTTTAATGAACTAATCCCTTGTAGGCATTAGTTCCTTTCTGGAAAGGGAAGATGAGATATTTCCGCTCTCATGCACCAAACTAGTGCTACATCATAGGATGTTTGTAACTTTGTGTTCAACCAGTGTTCCATGTCTTCTTCTGAACATTTTCTGCTCAGAACTCCTGGGTTGAGACTTCTTTAATTTTTCCAGTTGTTGGTACCTTTGCAAAGGCAAACCAAAGACTGTCAGTTCAGATGGTTAGGAGTTAACTGAGAGCTCTAACTGCGGAGCAGCATGAGTAATGCATCTTAGAATTGCATTGGAGTTAGGGCTTTTCAGAACAATCTCCTTATGATTAAAGTATGATGTTGCAAAATCTGGAGGTTTTAGTAGCAGTAACACCGGCCATTGCTTCTGTCCCCAGCCACTACTGTTCAGGGTTCCTAACTCCAAGATAGAATCTATGGGTGTTAATAGGCATTTGCTGTAGGTCAGTTGGATGGTGTAATCAGAAAGCAGTTTCGCTGTTTTTCTTTAGGACTGAAATTCCCAGAGTGGTCTGAGCACAGATCAGTAATAAACAAAGCACTAAATTGATGCCACTCTTCGTTGTCTGTTGTCTCCATGTTTGGAGAGTCAATGGAGCTTAAAATGCATACCCTTTTTTCTTGCCTTTTGTAGCAGAAGTGCAGTCCTCTTGATTTCATAGTGTGCCATTTTGAAAAAGTTACTATGCCTGTTCCTTACCCTCTCACAAATTATATATTCAGACTGTGCACAGTCTCATAGGAAATGTCCTCTGAATTTTAACTATCAGTTGTTTTTTTTGTTATGTAGACATTTATTAATCTGTCCCCATTTTTTGTGGCAACCACTTAGAAGGGTTTTGTTCTGATAAGCAGAAACATGTTGTGAGAGAAAAATCCTATAACTACTTTAAAAATGTTAATTTCAACAGAAAAATAAAAGGTTTGCTAAATAGGAAAGGGAAAAAATCCTCCAGGGAGAAAAAAAAAGTCTTTTATTGGCTTTTTTTTTTCTTTGGAAAGGCAGGTGAATTAGCTGAAGGCTGTGGTATCTCATAATTGTATTGAAAGTCAGTGCAATCACTGCAAAATGAGTAGTACACATAACTGTACTGTTCCTGACCCACTGGGTCTCTGATGGACTCATCTGGCCCATGTACTTAAAAAACAGGAAAGAAATGGAGGGCAATGTTGTTGATGTTGTTTATGTGTATATTGGAAAAAATAAAACAGCTGAAATACAGAAAACTGTTGATGTCATAGTGTCATTGTTGTTCTGTTTTCATGCCAGAATAAAGAGTAAGGACCCAGTAAGAAGTAGTATAAAATGGTATTGCTATTAGCACCTGATTTTTCGTTAGGTTTTCTTGGAATTCACCAAGCTGTGCAACCCAGTGAGGTGTCCCTCAAAGCTCAAAAACCAAAGAAAGCCAGTTTGCCAACATTTAGGAAGAGAATTCTGTGTCCCTTTCAAAAACTGTGCTTTTAAGATTCAAAGAGAACAGTGTGGAGTTATTAGGAATAAAAGGAATTATTAGCTGGTAAAACCAGGAAGGTGTATTTTCCTACTAAACTTTTACATTTCTGTAGATTGTCTTGATAACTTTTGCACATTATTGTATAACCATAAGCATAAAAACAGTAAGCTTTTTTAAAACATAAGCTTTAATTAGCCAGCGCACTGAATGTTAGTATTGCTGCCCAGCAGCCCTGTAGGGATCACACTTTGTTTACTCAGATAATGGCCTTTCACCTGAGATGGCCAGAAACCATAAGCTGTTTTCTAAATTCAGCTTACCTTTTCAGTTCCTTCCAGTCATGCTATGAGCTTTTTTTCCCCTATAAAAATCAAACACTGTAAATAATGCAGTAACACTGAAAGTATCCTACATGATCATACTTAATTTTAGAGTAGTAAAGTGACATGAGACCTGCAAATTGCATTTTGTAATTAAATCTTCTAGTTACCTACTCTATTTTTGTATCACTGAAAGTATTTTAATAACACTACAAATTCTTCCTCTTCCAAAAAAAAGTAATTATTTAGTCACAGACATTCTGAACTAGCTAGGGAGCGTCTCTATGGAGGCATGGAATCTTATTTCCATTCAAGGGATAGCTAGGTATTTTTTTTTCCTCTGTTGTGCTTGCAGGATAGAGGAGGGAGAAGAAACTGTTCTGTTCCCCCTCACTACTGGCTTGGGACTGGTACCAAATAAAACACGTGGGAATGTGGCTGAATGACACCATTTTATTGCTCTTTTGACCACTGCTAACAGGAATAACTTCACCCCGTTTTTAACAAAATGCTTATAGCTCTAACACTAAGCTGAATCTTGGCATAATCCTCTATTTTCTTCATCATACAAACTTGCCATTCAATTCATGTTTACCTTTTTGTATCTGTGTATTTTAACTGGAGTATTAGCATTTAAAGTGAGCTTGTGGGCTTTTTGTGAACAGCGCCTAAAGTTTATTATCTCCTTATAGCACTGGATCCTGTTTAAATGTAGCCTCAAGTGGTTGTTCTAGTCACAGAGGACTCTCATGCATCAGTAAGTCTCTGAGGTCCCAGCATAGGTCTTGGTTCATGTACAAAAACTGCATGTTATCAAGAGCAACCAGTCTGCATGATCTAACCTCAGTCCTGACATTCCCTGACTTACTACTGTCTTCATTTTGCTACACCAGTTTACTGTTTTAAATCTTCCACTTTCTCTACTTAAAAGACATACAGAGTAAAAGAAAAAAATGTTCTGCAAATTGAAAAGATCTGTAATGGCCCTAGTTAAAGTATAAATATCTGTAATACACTGTTCTTTTGAAAACTCAGTTCTGTGTGAGATCTAATTAATCTGTGAATATATAAGTAGGGGGTTGATTACAAAGTAATTAAGAGATCACCTTTACTTCCCCTTTCCCAGCTGCTGCCAATCTGTCTAGCTGTATCTTCCAGAGTTTTCCTTCTTTTTACCTCTCTCTTATGCTAACTTCCTTTTTTGCTTTGAAGAGCAATTTTCTTTCTGAAATTGGAGCATATAATTGCTTATTGTTAAGTCAACTTGTGAAACTGTATTGTGGACCACCAGGTACTGCTGGACCTTCTGTGGGCTGCTGCAGTACTAGTGGATTATTGTCGGAAGTTTGGAGTCTATTTGTAGTTGAAGATTGTGCAAATTTTCCTTGTATGAGTGATTTGTTTTCATATATCTGGTTCAGTAACTAAGAGAGATACTTTAACAGTCACTACTAATGATTTTTGTTCCTTTAATATGTTGATTCTTAAAAAAAATTATTATAGCTTTTGTCTAGGCAAAAAATGATTTTGTTATTTAAAAAATATCTTCTAGTTAATATTTCTTCTGGTTTTGTTTGGTTTTTCTTTCCACTTATCCCAGGAATACCAAGAAACAGCAGAGAAAAACAAAGAAAAAATTGATGTCCTTGAAAAAAGACAAGAGAAATTGGCCTTTGAAAATGTTTCTGTGAAAAATACATTAATGCAGGTTCAGAAGGAGCATTCATCTCTCCTGGCAGCCTGTGCGCTATTGGCAGGGGGCCCGTATTCTCTCAAAAAAAACTCTATGGCCGATCATGTGCTCTGTCTTCCCAGAGAGACCTTCTCCAGAATCAGGTCAACATTTATGAACTAGTGAATCAGAAGATTAGGACCCTAGTTCATGCTCTCTCTGATGTAGAGGAAAACAATCAAGATGGTGCAAAACTGAAGAAAAGAAAATTCAGAGGCCTCATTCATGTATTCCGAAGAGGTGTAATTGCAGTTTTGGCAGCAAACAGACTTAAAGTTTTATCCCAGTCTTCTAGCTCCCTCTTCTCCTGGGTAAATGGCTTCAAAGAAGGCATTGGAATTCTAGTTTGTATAGGAGACTTCAAAGGCAAGCGTAATCTGTCAAGTAAGCTAATTGTTTTCTTCTTTGATAAGTGTTATGTCAAATTACATTGTTGGTGAATAACAAATAATAATATTATTAGTAGAGTGTAAAGACAAATTTAGTGACATTTTGACAAATATAGTTTCTGGATTTGTGTTTTCTGGATTTCTTGACAAATGTAATTTCCCTTAAAAGGAAATGCTTAATCTGTTAGGCATTGAAAGAAGAGTTACAGCTACACATGTCAACTCATACTATTTGTTATCCTTGACATTTTCATTAGGAATTTCAGAACTAGGTGCTACCCCATCTTCTCTGTGGTAAATACTTTGAATGTTCCTAAATTATTTACCATCAACGTATTTTCTTAAAAGATCTTTCCTCCTCCTTTATGAATAATTTTTAATGTTTATTTGCTGCTGAAAATACAGAAAGTTGCTTTTTATTCGGGTAAAGTATTAGTTTAGGATTTCTAAATTTTTCTTCAGACGTTATGTAGTCTTCCTCTTCCTTTCTGATACCAGACAAGCTCATGCTTCCCCCTACAAGAATAAATGGTATAAAAAAATATTTCCCAAACTAGAAAATACATCTACTTTTCTGTTTTAATAGTTTTGGAAGCATATTTAATACAATCTAAATTGTCCTGAAAGAATTAATGGCTTATATATTTAGTTTTGGTCAATTTCTGAAAGAGCTGGAGATAATAATGTGCTTTATCTAAGTTAGCCAGTTCTATTGCTAGCTACAATTCTGTTTCACAGGTCATGAAGAGGAACAAATTCACTGTGTTGAAGCACTCAGTTGGTTTACTAGTTCAAGGCTCCTTTCTGCAATAATCAGTTCTGTCACTGAATTACAGGATGTTATTAAAAAAACAGGTAATTTACAAAGTATATTCTTGTAGTAGAAGATTAAAAACTAATCTGCATGGTTACATAATTTCCATTTTTAGAATTTTATAAACACTATTCTGGATCAAATCACTGGAGAGCTGTATTGTTGGAAAACAATGATTTTCTTTAATTATTGATATGATGCTTAATCATTTTGGTATATAGAGTCATGGAAACAGAAGGCTAGAGAGTGCTTCTGGAAAGCATATAAACAGTTTTGCCTGCTTTCTTGTGATAGAAAAAAACCATCTACATCATGTCAATAGATATGTAGCTAACCTATTCTTAAAAGCTTCCAATTAAGTAATATTTACAAGCTTTGCAGTTATCTTGTTCTACTGTTACAATATTAAAAAAGTATATTTTCCATAGAGAAAAATCTACATAATTTCTGTCCAGGTGATCTGTGTATTTAAGTGTGGGCCCTAAAACTGGCTCATACTCAACCTGGGCCATTACCCCTCCTGACAGAAGGGAAATAATTTCCTACTGTGTTTTATATGATACGGATTTAGAATTTCCAAATTTCTGGCATCTGGAAAACAGTTGAATTGGATAGATACTATTTTCATCTGGCTTACTTGCTATCTTGTGGTTTTTGAGAGAGAAATAAAATGCTCTCAGTCTACACAATGTGTAGCAGACCTTATTTTATGTCTCTACCATCTTCCTTCTCAAAGTATATGCTTAATTAGATTTGTATCTAGATTGCCTAACTTTCTCAAGTCTCTCCTTTTACAGAATTCTGCTCTGCCTATGGAAAATTTTAGTTGCCAATCTCTGGAAATGCCACCTTTTGACTCCCAGCTGCTATCTAACTTCCGTAATTGATTTGCAGTGAGGAGTGATACAAGATCTCATTTAGTTACTCTGCATTGCTGTCATCCATAGTTCTTTGGTACTTGGTAGTTTCAAAGTCCCAATAATTCTGTCACAGAATATAGGATATTAAAGGAAAGATAATTTATGAATAAAGGGAAATAGGACAGAGAGGAAGTCATACCTATCCCAGAAGCATGAACCAGCATGAACTGGTACTAGAAGTCAGCCATTGAATCAAAAGTGTTTTGAATCACTTTCAGATGCTGTCATCTTTGATCATCCTGTTTTCACTAACTTAAATCCTTACAAAATGAACTGTGTTTCAGAATATTTATAGGGTTTATACTGCAAGTATTCCTGCACATGAAGTGTTGACTAAGAACAGCAAATTGAAAAAGAATCAAGAGAAACTTTATAGCAGCATTGATGTGCTGAAGTTACTAGTTAGAATACCCTACACTCATGATACTTTACTGTTATTGAAGTATTTGAAAATTCTGGTGGATTCTGTTTACTTGATATCTCAACATTGAGATACTGAGTAAACTTTGTTGTATATTCAAGACACTGTTTTGAGTTTGAGAATTAGGAGAAGCCATGCTGAAAATGTTATGGCCACCATCAGTTTGGTGATTCTTTAATAGCTTCTCTCTATTTTAAGTCATTTTCGCAGAACCTCAAGATCTAACTGCTCATATATTACTTGGAATTCTGTTGCTCATGAGATCGATGGTCTCCCAAGAACCTTTGATTCAGGAAATAGTAATAAATAATTTAAAGGTGGACATGAAATTTCCAGAAGTATCGAAGTGAAGGAATATATTTGAAAGAAAGGTTGCATACTTAGGAAATTATTTTATATTCTGTAAGTCATATTTCAAATATGTTTTGCAGATTTTAAACCTTCACACTGACTTATTATTTTAATTTTTTTAATGTAAATAAATGATCTGAGAGTCACCTGCTCTCTTCAAATCTTGAGATAATGCAGTTCCAGATTACACTGCACATCAGAGGAGAGAGCAGGCATGAGAATTGGCTATGTGGATCTACAATATGGAATGGTTCAGTGTCTTAAAAATCACCCTTAAAAATTGCTAGTTTCTGAGGAACTATTTGAAGCAGATGGAAGAAACCATATCCAGGTCACTTAGATAACACTGGTACTTTTGGGCTTGTGCACTCTGGTGATTTGAGACACATTTCTTGAGCTTCTAACTTTGAAAAAGGTTCGTTTGGTTTGACATTCATGATAATTTTCCTTCACACTGTTTATTAGTTTGGTTCTCATTCCAGCATGTCTTGGAATGATCTCTTAGTGTCATTCCGAATACAAGTGCATTGAAGTCTTGGGGTTTTTCATTTTGTGTTGTGTTTTTTTTTTTTTTTGTGGGGTTAGTTTTGTAGGTTTGTTTGAACAGAATCTGCACTGTGGTAAACCAGAGAAAGTAAAGGTCAAGCTTTTTGAATACAAATATAATCAACTGTTACATACAAAGAGCTTTTGAAGCTTAGCATGAAAATTTTGGTCTTGTGTAGTGCTACCAAGGTCATCCTGCTGACTGTTCTCTCCAAAACAGAGTAAAGAATTATGTCTTCATTTATCAGTGAAGTGAGATTTGTCACTTTTCATTGTCTTTTTCTTCATTCTCTTGTAAAATGAGATATCAGGTGGAAATATTAGGAAAAATGAAGTAACAGTAGCTTATTGACAGTATCCTTGTTTAGATCTTTACCAAAAATCATGGCAGAGGAGAGCTTTTTAGAAGGTTTTGATGTCATCTTACATGGAAGGCGGTACAAATGTTCGGTTTTAATATTAGGTTAATTTAACTAAACATTCAAATTAATGAATGCATCATGACTGGAGAAAAGAGATGGTCTTTGAAACAGAAAGATAGGATAGGATGAACTATGATAAGTTAAAATTATGAAGGTAGCTTATTTTTTATGTGATCAATAATAGAGAACCAATGTAAGGAAAAGGGAGGAGCATTGGCCAAAGTAGACAGAGCATTACAATAGCAGTTTCTTCTGAGTATGAGAAGAATACTGTTCTTTTTATTTCAAAGGATGTTTTATTAGTTGAAGTGCAAGATAAAATGCTGGACAAGACTTCTAACTTTAAAGATTAATAAAAAGAGTGCTCTCTTGGACATGAAGAAAAGACAGATTTACTACTAGCTAGGGTTATGGAGAGCATGTAGTCAAAAATGCTACTCCAGTTAGGCACTGGAATGGTGATATTTTGAAACCAACCAGGAGAATGGCTCTGAAAAAAAGAATAATTGACTTTTTTGTGTGCTTCTTTTTTTGTTTACTTACAAAATTTAATCTCATACATGTAAATGATAAATTCTTCGTGTTGAGACTTGTAATCTAAAAATATTGGTAATCATGTTTTGTTTGTTCTGTACCTTTGACTTTATCCTCTCATTGTAGAAAGAGAAATTCTTTAACTTAAAAAAGCTATGGTTGTTTTTTTCTGTTTATAGTCTTAAGTAAATACTTTAATTCACTGCAGCAACAGATCCTCTGTACTACTGAATGTAAATAAGCTCTACCATGCTTGTCATCTTACACCGATAGTATCATAAGACAAGTAATGACAGATTAAGACCTGCCTAGCAGAGGGAAAACTAAATTACAAGACTTTTATTAAGGCATAAATAAACCTATTAACTGTTATCTGGAATACCAATTAGTGGAAGGAGCACTGACAATTTTATTTATCAACATTAAACACAATTATTAATTACAGACCTGACGAATCTAGCAGTAAGCAGGACATGTTGGGTGTGCTGGGGGCTTAAGTCCATTATATGAGAAGGATGATTACCAAAATCCTATGGGGAAATAAGTAATTGTAGCTGTAAAATTTTAATTGCCTTGAAATAAGGTAAATTATATTCTCTTGTCTCAGAATATAAATAGTATGGCATTAAGGTACCAAGCCTCACTAATTTTGAACAGTAAATGATTTAGACATCTATAGAGGGGAAAGAAGAGGAGTCAGGAAACCCTCAGAAATTTGCATTGTAAATATTACGATAAAGTAATTTACCATGTGCTATCACATCCGACATACTTGACCTGACTTGCATTTGCTTTCATCCATCTTACATGTTTTCTGAATTACACAATTAGAACACCCAAGGACTGAAGAAAGTATAGTGTTGGAACAGAACATGAAAACAACTGGAAAATTATTCTTTGACAAACAAATCCTATTCTTTAGAATCCTATCTTACCCTTCCATCCAACGACTGATAGGAGTAGAGTGTTCATTGTTAAATACAGAATTTGTCCCAGAGTCTCTCTGAGATACTCCTGTGAGCTCAGTCTTCTACTCTTTAATTGAAATTTCCTGCTAAGTATTTTAAAGATGCTATTTGGTTTTGTTGTTTTTGCCCCACTAAAAAATGAAACTGACAACCTACTTGATGTTTCTTTTTTGTTGTTGTTTCTTAAAGATGCAAAGCCCTGGCTTTCTGAACGCTTACTTGTAAGTGCAGCCAGGAACTCCTTTTCAAAACTTATGGACAAGCTGAATGTAATAATGGAGCCTGTTCCACAAGACAGCAGCAAGAATGTTATTTATCTGGAGAAAGACTCTTTGGTACAGAGGCTGGCTCACGGACTTAATAAAATAAATACCCAGGCCCTGGACACTGGATTGTGTGACAGACTACCCATTATGGTATGCATATTTATAGTGCTACTTCATGTAAACAGTAGGTTCACAGCATAAATGCTAAGGTGAAGCTCTTTTGATAGTATCATTAGTTTTGTTTCAGATTGTTTATGAGTCCATTAAATTGAAGTTAACTATATAGAGAATTAGAAGTTGATTTGCAACATCCAAAGGCGTTAAAGCATGAATAGATCTTTTATTTTATTGTCAGAGAATTTAAAAAATAGATTTGATGTATCCAATAAAACATTTTTTTAAAGTTCTGACAAAACTGTATTTACTTTATAAGAACAAACTTGCTTTTGGCTTTAACTAAATGTTAAGGTTCTTTTTTTTTTCCTCCTGCTTACTGTCCTATCTTTCAGAAAAGATAACCTTCTTTCCTTTAACTGAAAAGAAAGGATAAACTCTTTCTCACATAATCTGTCTTCTGTTGTGGGCCTTATGTGAAAGCAGGTACTTCCTTGAAAACAAAGGAACCCTCAACAGTAGGTGAAACATGCACATTTTTTCACTCTTGTGTGTCTTTTAGAGACGGAGGACAAAATGATAGCTTTGTCTAATTTGCTTGGGTATTAAAAAAGCTTGATTGATTTTATTGCTAAAATAGCATGTTTCTATAGCACATGATTTTCTTTCTGTTTACTAACAGAAAAACATAGCATCCTTGCAGAAACAAATACTTGAATTTACACAAAGACTTCATATAGCAGAGGTGGAACGTCGCTCCCTGCGCCTAAAACTTGCAGAATTCAAATGGAATTTCAGTGAGATGAAAAAAGAAGCTGACAAAGCCCAGAGCCTTCAAGAGCAATTAAATATGTTTAAGCAATCTGTGAGTATATTTGATTTAGAGGAGACTGGTTACAAGAGATCCTCCTTTTTACACATTTTTTGATTTGTGTTCTTTTGAAAAACAAGGATAAAATCAATCTACTATTAACAGATTTTTTTAGAAAACTTGCCTTGTAAATGTCACTAAACTATTAAGTCAGATGTATTTAGTTCTATCTACTTCCTACAGGCGTTTCTCTTTGATTTGTAGATTAAGGTTTTATGTGTAAAGTAAATGTTTCATCTTCAGCAACCCAGGTTTTCTTCCATATGTTTAAAATGTTAGAGTGATTTATATACCCTAAGGGGATTTATAGGTTTCACTTCAACAGACTGAGGTAGGCTAGAATGAAGGTATCCAATATGTATGTTCATGAGAAGTACCAAAAGCATAAATTTAGTGTTTTAAACTCTGCATGGATATTGCTTAAAATTATGATAGATGTTTTAATGTGTGGGTTATACACATTATATATACATTACTGAGCTAGTCAATGTAAATTTTAGAGTGGCTGTTTCCTTGAAGGAGTAAGTTTATGGCAAAGAAAAAAACACCCTCTTCTACAGTCTCAGTAGCACATATACACCAGATTCTTCTGACCATTTGCTGTCACTGATTGATTTTCTTAAACTCTATGGGTTTGCTAACCTGTAAGTAGCATTGTCTGACAGGAATAAGAAGAGACAATAAAAAGGTTCCTTAACTACTTGAAGCTGCAGTATAGCGAATAATGGACATGGTGGTTGAGGAATTAATGCCATTTTGTTGGTTGTTGGTTTGTTCCCTGTCATACTCACAGAACTGTGCCTTCAGTCCTTAATGAATCCTTATTATTGCTGTAGGGCAAGACAATGGGCACCTTTCGTCCTGTGCTTATTTGTTATAGTTTGCATTCAGCTACATTTGAGGTATCTGAGAGGGTGAATGGATAAGGATTCTTACACATGCTTTGCAGATGCACAGTATAACTGAAACTGTTGTGTCACAGAATGAGCAATATTTTCTGTCGCTGTGCCCAGTGTGATGCTGAGGCCTAGTTGATAGGCCTGTCAGTATGTCCCAATCGAAATACTTCCAAGCAGTGCATATTCAATGGATGATTTCGTATCCATTCTCTTTCCTGTTCCTAGCTGGTAAAATGGACTTTTTAACTCAAATGAACAAGGTTATACCTAATCAACTTTGGTTTTGTTCTCAATGGGTTTTATTACATTACAGTTCTGGGACAGTTAGATGAAATTACTGCATTTTAGAGTTTGGTTCAAATGTAGATTGTTATTTTCCTTGAAGAATTATTTATTCTTTCTGGAGCATTTTAGGGAGGAGAGAAAGAGTCCAAGAAGACATGTACAAGGGTTAAGATATGCACTGAAATGTGGGACATTGATCTGCACATTTTCTTCAAAATACTGTTTCTTTACAACCTGGGGTGCTAATTTGAATAGAATAATGAATGCATACTGCTTACAGTACTATGAATGGGTTCTTTTTAAATATAGTGAATAAATTTGTCTGCTGTTTTATTGTTTGGTGGTCTGTCTTCATGTTATAACACCTAAATATTCATCTTTACCACGCTTTTGTTTTAGAATTTGGTATGTTTTCAAGTGGAACTCTGAAAGTCAAGCATGTAAACAAGTGAATACAGTTACACAATCAAACACAATGTATTTCCCTTATCAGAAATTGATCACCCATGAGAGGTTTGAAAGTGCATATGAAGAACTGAATAATGCATTACTTCGGGAGCATCAGGCACAAGTGCTTTTGAATGAACAGGCGCAACAGCTACAGGAGTTAAATAATAAACTGAAATTGCTCTCCAGTGAAGAAGCAGATAAAAACCAAGTCTTAAGTGAAACTGTAAAGGTAAGATGATTATTCTTCTGAACCAGGCAGCAGAAATTTACCTTTTGGCGAATAAACCAAATCTTGCAATTCTTGTGCAAATAAAACTATAGGTGTAAATGCACACATACTACTCAGTCCATTGGAATTTTAGGGTGCTTAGAAAACACTTTCAAAATGCAACTTTAAGGTATAACTTCCCTTTTCTGCTTTTGGAACTGGCTGGCATATACCAGTATCTGTACTCTCAGAAGTGTCTTGATTTTGCGTAACAGACAGCAGTTGCAGCTATCATGAAGTGTCTGCAGACTATAGGAGAAACGAAGGAAGAAATACAGGAATACTTCAATTTTGGTTTTTTTTAATAGAGATCATAATAATATTTTAGAACCTGGATTAGCTGGTTCCTGAATATAATCCTAGAGTAGAGAATGCATTTTTCAATTTGGAATACGGTGGGTGACAGTAGAGAAAGATCCTTTTTCATCAGGATTTAGAATTTTCCTCAAACATAATGAGTAATGAGGGAAAAGGTGGTGTTATCAGAATCTCTGATAGCAAATCAAACAGCAGAGAGAGAATAAGAGGTTTGAAACCAAGTGGATATTTAACATGGGAAGAGAAGAAACCTTGAGACAGCAGGCCAGTAATGTGTGGTGACCTGAGCTCTGCAGCGTTTATTTAAAAGCAGCTTTGCTTCTGTCTGCTTCTGTCTGCTCTTCAGCCCTGCTACTGTCTTTCCGCCTCCTAGTATTCTTCTGTGCGTTGATAGTTGAGCAAAAGAGACTGCTTCACTGGTATTTTGAGAAATAGAAGTACTTGTGTTTCTGTGATGTTACTCTGTAATTCTCAATCCTTTCAATGGAGCAACTGGACTAAATTTAAGTTGCAGACTTCTTGTCATGTACTGTCCCTAAACTTCTTTTTAAATAACCTGAAGGTTGACTGATGTCTCTGAATTCCTTCATGATGTTTACTACTATATTTAGCATAAAATTGCATTGTGTTTGTCGTGGCCTGTATCTGTGACTGTATCAAAGAAGGAAGCAAGATCAGTTGTGGTAGCATGACAACACATGCTCATGACCTAGTGTTTTCTGATTATTTTATCATGCATATTTGATTTTATAATGAATACTACCTAAGAAGTAAACATCTTACCTTCAATTTCTATCATTTTTTACATTTCCAAACCTGTGCTGAGTAAGTTCGCCTACTTTCAAATAGCAGTCTAACACAAACAACTTTGCTACCAAGGGGTAAAAGGAATTTTTTGTTTGTTTTGACCTTGATATGTTTGGGTTTTTAAAATTTAAGAAAAAGTCTTTCATAAGCTTGTTTTCCCCCCACAGTTTACCACAATCCCACTTTATTCATGGCTTTATTCCTGACAGGCAGAAATTATATCTACCTCTGCCCTGGCATTTTAACTGACAGACCATTTTCATTTGGCTAATTGGTTTTTTTGTGACTTTTTTTTTTGTAGCTTTCTTTTTGCAGTACAGTGGAACAATTTCATCTCTGTATTAATCCTGACCTTGTACAACAAAATTGCAAAAGCTTTTAAACTCCTAAATAGTACAGAAGTATGGAAAAAAAACCACCTGTTGCACTGAAAAATAAAACAGAAAAAAGTATGCCTTTATCTTTGTCTTAAGATATATAATTATCTGTCTAGACTAAGCATATATAAGAAGTTGGATGATGTGGTGTTTTACAAGTGATTTCGGATGAAGTAGTATGTCACAGAGTGAAAAAACTTGCTTTGAATTCTTTATTCGTAGTTTTTAAACAGGTAAGGGGGAAAATAAAATATTAGATACTTTTACTTTTTTTAACTTATTTTTAAACTTATTCACATTTCAACAGCAATCAATAAGGAGTTATTTTGGTATTCATGTACTTTCATAAAGTAGGCTTATGGAAGGAGTTATACTTAATTTCTTAGCTTTATCGGTTCAGATTTTAATCCTGTATATTTTTATCTTGTTAATGGCATATACCATAGAGACATCTAAGGTAGCCAATTACATTCAAGGTCAGCGGGAACTAAGCAACTCTTTTACACCACTTTTCTTATGAAATGAGGTAAATCAGTAGCTCTGACTCCCCTGTTTTGGAAGAGAGACTTTTACACAAATGCTAAACAGGCATCTATAGCAGACATAATTTTTACTCCTTATACATGGTTGTCTTAATTCCAGTAAAATACTGCTTCTTCCTATTGACACATACTGTATGTATGTTTACTTTCTTTTTGGTATGTTAGTACCTGTGTAATAAAAACAGAATCTTTTAAAGGTTTAATTCATAGAGCATGTCCTATAAATTGTTAATGAATAACTCTGTGTGCATTTCAGGTGCAATATATGACAGATTGTGTAACTTGCTACTGATCTGCCTCAAAACAATCTTCAATAGATGTTTTAGAAGAAGATGATACCCTAATTTTGGGTTAATTTACTAAGTTTAGTGAAGCTGCCATTGATGTACGACAGCATAAGCATGAAAAGAATCTCATCAAAGTGCTTTGATAACAGAAAAACATTTTCTGATGGGAAGGTTTGAAGTGTTTATTTTCACTAGCTATTTAACTTAAATCATTATATTCTGTGTTCAGTAAGTGTAATATCCTTTGCTAAACAGACACATCCAAATTAATGAGATTCTGATGGAAACTGGGATTTCTAGGTTTGTTAGAATTGGCTGTTTTCCTTGGGCAGGCTCTGTGTTCTTGGTGTGGATTTCAGGTGAAAGTGGTACACAATTTGCTGCCTTTTGTTGCTTTTCCTCTTCATACATTTATAGCCACATATTGTCCATGAAAAATAATTTCAGTTATTTATACAATTTCTGGTATTAATACCATTGCACACTCTTTGCAAAACAGTTTTATATGTGGCTTTTTCTGCAAATGATATAGTATTCTAATGTACAGAAAGATTAGAAGGCTTCAATTACATGAGGAAGACCAAGTGATTTTTATGCTTCTCAAAAAGGTCACAGTCAGTATAAGAACAGAAATAGGTTTTCGATTTTTTTTTAAACTCTGACATCTTAAGTTGAAAGACAGTTAGGATTTGGGTGTACTGAGGGATACTGTTGATCCCCAAAAACTTGTTTGTCACTTTGTCAAGAAAAAGCATTTCTGTGCATTGCCTGGTTAAATTAAAGGCAATTCTTTAAAGAAATCAGTATAGCTGATTACCATTAACATCTAACTTAATAGATAATTTGTATTAATCAAGTTTAGCATGTTATAGGGAAGCAAGCTCCCCTCTGAATAGGTTAGAAACTAAAATTCGTAATTCATTAATTAATTTTTTTTTTAGTTTCCATACTCTGTACATTCTGAAAACCTAAATAACTTAAAAAATAAATAAGAATGCATTAGCATTGCCATCTGCCCTATTCTTAGTCAAAAGAGGTTGTATGTTTTCTTATTACAGTAAACTACAGGTTAAACAGTCTTGTTATATATTTCAGTTTGCGTTAACATTCTTTGGAGAGTAAGTAAGCCTGCTCATTCTCCTTCTCTGTTACATAATTTCTGCTACTGATAACTTCATAGTTAGAGAGTCTTCAGAGAGTTAGGTCAACTAATGACTTGCCCTGGAGCTGATCCTTTGTGCTTTCCTGTTTACAATTTACAGCGCATTGTATGTGGAATTTAGGTATATGGGAAGGAATAGTCTTCCCCAGCTTCCTTGTAGCAGCTGCTATCTTTACATACTAGAGGAGACACACAGAAAGCATCCTGTTGTGGCCTGCACCTTAGAGCTTCTTTTCACAGAAGGAAAGAGAAGATGACTGTGGCAAAGTCCTCATTCTATTACTCAATCTGCGTTTCAGATATCTAAACTTAGACTTCACCTTAAATGTCTCTCTTCTGTAGTTTGTCCATGGAGTGTGTTTGTTTTATAATCTTATAGTCCACTTTATTATCTGGGTGTTTTTTGTTTGATTTTTGGTGGTGTTTTTTTTTTAATCACTAACTTGTGCTTTAAATCTTCTCTTGGAGATAAATAATTGTACTAGCTTCATTGAAAGCAGCCCTTCATGTTGTGGTGCACAGCTCTGCTTGCTTTGCTTCTCTGGTTAGCCTCTAAGATTCAGGGTCCAAGGGTTGCCCTGTTCTTTTTCCACTTTAAGGATCACCTCATTAGGAATATTGATCCCTGCATTTCCTTGCTGAACTAAATTATTTCCAGCCAGGTTGTTAGGTCTGTGTATTTCCTTTGTTCTGTGCCTACAGCATTCATCAGTATCAGCATGAGTAGTCTGGAGGGACTGAGGTCAGTACATGGCCTTTAGAAAAGTATTGTATTTGCTTCATAGTCATCAATGAAGCAACAAAGCAACTAGCAGCCAAGTTGTTGAAGGAATGCCTTAACTTTTCTGAGTCAGGCTTTCTGGAATATATGTAAGTAATAAGCAGAATAGAAGAAAGAATAAAGTTTGTGGTTATGAACTAGTTAAATGTTTGCATTAACGCGAATTTCAATCCAGCAATTCAAATTCAAGTGTTCAAGGCCAGGGTGGACGTGGCTTTGAGCAGCCTTGTCTAGTGAGAGGTGCCTCTGCCTATGGTAAGGGGCTTGGAACTCGATGATCCTTAAGGTCCCTTCCAACCCAAACCATTCCGTGGTTCTATAAATTTTTTGCTGTATGAATCATAATTTAATTAGAAGCTGTAACTTAGAAAGGATATTGGCATTACCATTTTGTTACTATTTCATTCCTCTGCAGTTCCTCTTTTGTCCAGTGTTGCAAGTTGAATGTTGAGTAATTGTAATTTGAGCAATATTAAGATTTTACATTGGAATTTGAACACATAGTCATACCAGGTGAACATTAGAAAAAAAATATTTAAATTATCCTACTACAAAATGTTTTATCGGTTAGTAGTAAGAATATTATTCAGGCTGATTTGTCAGACAAATTCTTTACTGTCTCTGCATACTAAGAAAATAGTAAAATAATCTCCAACATTGCTTCTACTTTATATTGAGAGAAGAATG